CCCCAATTATCTTCAAATCTAAGGAATTTGACTTGGAATGCTGTCTAGTTTGAGTTTGCTTCTTCTGCTGTCACTCTCTAAATCTTTGTCGACTTGACGTTACAAAGAATGACCTAAGTCAACAAACAAAATTTGCGGCTCTATTTGACATCCTGCATACTTGTGTCAACATTATTATCTCGTCCTTCGCTGCTTTGTTTAATTYTCTGCAAGTGAGACAAACCATCATGCCTTTTCGTTTGCGCCAGACTGATATTGTACAGGTTAAGTTACGGAGCTATTTGTTGAGCGCAATCTAATTTTATCTATAGCTAAAACAAACCTTTGTTCCCTCACTTGTAGCCTCTCAGAACTGATCTCACTTGGGGATATTTCAGGGATTTAGCGCCGTTCCAAATTAGACAGCGGCGCTGGCATGTTGCATTCGTGTGTTGACCTTCTGTTGTTTCCCGGCACCTTTTACAGGTCGAGAGTCATTTGTTATTACGTGAGCTCTAACCCCATGTCAAGGAGTGTTTTGGCACCTGCAGCAAGTGATCTTTCATTGCCTGATTAGCTCAAGTTAGAAGACACAGCACGCCTTCGCTCTACGCTGGGAACACCCCCTCGAACACAGCGAGCGCACACTTCACCACTGAATGCACTCATGGATTCATTCACACTCGTTCCCTTTCTCACACACACGCAGCGGAGCCCACAGGGAAAAGCCCATCTCTCGTCACTGTGCTCATGTAGCCTAATTATCGGCCCGCTGACGAACAGTAATTGCCCATGCTGCCATGCCACCATGAGGTTTAACCAAAGTGACAAAGTCATTAGTCTCACACTTGAGGCCACCCATAAAGAGCTTTTCCTCTTTGTAACTCCCCCCACAGGCAAGCATTCCTTCATATTTTTTCCCAAAAAACTGTTCTTTAATATGATTTTTATTTTTATTTTTTCTGTTTCTGTTCACAGTTTGATGCTGACAACATGTACATGAACGACAGTAACCAAGAGTTTCGGTCGCCAAATCAGGTAAGACAGCTCATGTCTTTTCCTATAAACCTACCAGGCTGACATAAATGCTGGATCATTTTAAATTTATACATTTCCCTAACACAGCAGAGTTGGTAAGACATAGCCAATATGAACTGGAAAACTCAACTTTTGGATAAAATTTGTCAAAAAAAATATGTGTCATTTGTCAACAGATGCGGGTATCATTTGCCCAAAAGAATAGCCTCTCTTTGATTATTTTTTTAAAAGACCTGCCTTTTATGATTCTTTATGTCTAGGGTTTTTATTTATAGCTTTTTAGAAATAATTTTCAAACAAAAATCAGCATTTTTTGCAAAGTTGCAACATGTAACCAGTCAGGAAATCAGCCATGAAATAAGTATGATTCCTAAAAGACTCCTATGAGTTTGAACCTCTTCCACTAAGGAGAACACTTGAAGTCAAATTATTTCTTTATTCTCCTCAAAGCAGTTTTATTTTGATTTCAACCAAAGAGCTTTAATATTTGTAACATTAGTGGAATTAAACAAGTGGATGTGACAGTGTTGGTGACAAGTCAAAACAAAGACGCAGCGAAAGCAGCAGTAACATTTCACCACCCCAAGCTCATTAAAGTGCCAGTTCTCAAAACTCCCACAGTCAGTGGGTTAGACAGGAACAGTGCTGAGTGCTCCCAGCTGGTACATGAAACACATGGCTGGACATATGGCAGAATTTGGAGCTCAAAGATTTGTTGATCCGGCAGCCCGGCCTTCGTGTTCTGACAAAACATGATGAGGTGGAAGCTCCATGTCAATTAGCGCCTAGCCAAATAATTCAAAGAGGCATTGGACACAGCCAGAGGACCAATGACAGCAAGGCCTCTCTCACATATTCTCTAATGTAATCTACTTATTTTACACAAACTCATAGAACCCCATTCATTATGACAGAAAGTGACACATTCAATGCACTTTTTTARCACACAAAGTATCTCACTTTTTAATAAGTACTCAGTAATCCACTCCTGGATCATCATCGTAAACGCAACTGAATTTATGAGCCTAACATCCGTCTACTTATTATCTCTATCAGTTTCTTCCTTTCTGGCTCACTTGTGTCTATGTCCAGCGGTCACTGCATGAGTCAATCACAGGGCCACAAAGAAACAAAAAACATCTAGACTCTCACATGGGACTAATTTAGAGTTGCCAATTAACCCAACGTATATTTTTGGTCTGTGGGAGGAAACCGGAGCACACGGCAAAAACCCATGCACATGGAGAACATGCAAACTCCAATCAGAAAGACCGGGATTAGTTTCCGCAACCTTCTTACGGAGAGGCAACCATCCCTCCATATCTCTGAGTCCATCATTTAAATGAAAAATTTTGTTCTCATTACAACATTTTTTTTTTTGTTTCTTTTTGTGAAAATGTAGTTTAGGATCTATGTGTTGAGATTTTGTGGTAGCATCCTTAAAAATTAAGTTTACCACCTCATTGTAACAAGAATGTTGGTTGTAAACATTGAGGTGTAATTAAAAAAAATTGAAATAAGTGATCTACACTGGCACCAAAACTTAAAAAAGATTGCAACATTTGACAATAAGCATAACACTGACAGACAGTGCAGTTTGAAAAGGTTCCAGTACTTTTCCAGATATATTGATATACAATTCTGAAACGCAGCTATGCACCCCTTGAAAAAGAAGCCACTCGACAGATACCACTGAAAAGCACGTTGAAGCTTGAGTCATGCAATTGACCTACATTTGTCTGGTTATAGACTGTGTAGGTAAACAAAACTGGTGTAATCGGACAAGCATAGAATCTTGGAGAAGAGGTTTTGATGAAAATATAAGAGTAAATCTGCTGCTAAACACAAAACAAATCTGACCTAAAAGTTTTTCATTTGTCCATGCCCTACTTCAGGGATCACCACAGTAAATATGATATATGTGGCCCTGTGGGTGTTTAAAGTTGAATAAAGCTGGTATAGTATGGTATAGTATGGTATGGTATGGTATGGTATGGTATGGTTAAAAAAATTGTAGATTTTGTTTCCTATTTCTTGATTTACTTGTCTTGAGTGCCTTTAGTATATTTTTCTGTCTTTGTTTCACTTCTCATACAWTTTAATGCAGAACWCTTTGAAGAAATGTAGTCACGGAGCAGTAATTTTCAAAGACAGTGTGTCAACCTATGAATGGCCATGTTTATGGTARCAATGGCCAGTCTGGGTGTGTGATGATATCATAAAATGATAGTGGAGCAAAAATGCAGATGATATGTCAATGTTAAATTAAAAATAAAGTTATGAGACTGAATTTGTATGTCTTTAAAGCTTTCCCTTTTATATATAATTTAGCCTGATTTTAGTCTAGACAGTTATGGACAGTTTAACTATTGTTCAAACATCTTTTCTCAAAGACGTTCAATAGATCYAATTAGCATTTTTTTAGTTAAAAAGACATCTAAACTGTCCATAAATGACTGGGATGAATTAGGCTCAATTTGGACTAAATGTAAAACTTTTGTAGATGGATAAACTTTGTTATAGACATGAAATAAACATCTGCAGTTAGTTAAGACTAGCAGGGGGAAAATCTGTTTCGCATTCGACTTAAGCTTGAATCCCAGGCTTGTTTATGCTTCTACTGATTTTAACAGCCTCACTGTGTTCAGTGGTCAGCTGTCATATGCCTGTTGTATTCCAGTGTCTGAGTCTGGCCTGATCACATGTTGTGAGCGATTACTCCAATTGGCCATTGCGTTTGTCTTTTTAACCTTTACTCTGGTTCACTATAAATAAATTGTGTGAGAGATTGTGTATAATTAAATAGATATTTCCTGTTTTGTGGGCCAGTAGAAATGAGCTTGTGGGCCGGATTTTGCCCGGGCTCTGCCAGTTGACAATCTATTCTTTAGCCGAGGAGCAAATACCGCTGTGTGTGTGGTGCATTAAATGATTATGTGTTTTGTTTTGTTTTTTTTAAAGCTCAACAAACTATCATCAAAAAGCTCCTGCTTGCACCACTCCAAACAGTTTTACTTGAGCAACTCTCTACTTTGTTCTCAGTGTTTATATTTGTTTAACTAGACCAATAAAGTTATTTAATTACAGCACTAACTCTAAAACCATGCCTCTCAAACAAGCCTTTGAAGATGTAAAAAAAACTGCCAAAATGTCCTCACTTGACAAAAATCTGCTTACTCACATGATGTAAAAACTTAAATTGGGCCTTGCAGAGTTTCATGAACAAGAACACATGGATGTGCAGCTCACCACAAACTACCACCCTGCACTTGTGTACAAACACCATTTCATAAAAGCCTAATAACCACCTTCACATGAGCTCGTACATCTTGTAGCCACGATGTCGCCTTTTCTTTGATGTTTAGATTGAGAGGCTTTAATGAGAGGTCGAGTGGGAGCTTTAGCATCTTATTGTCAACTTACAGCACAAATTAGAATCTATAAAGTTCATCGTTTCTCACATTTTCTGGTCTGGCCTAATTATGTCACTGTTCATATGTGTGTGTGTGTGTGTGTGTGTGTGTGTGTGTGTGTGTGTGTGTGTGTGTGTTTGTGCTAATTGGGATAAATGTCCAGCTTTGTAGTTTCGCTGCCGCTGCGGTCATACGTCAATCACCAACACCCACTCTAGGTTTGCCGTGTTGTGTCAACAAATACCTTCTTAGTGGATAAAGCAATTTGGGCTTTTCAAAACATGTCAGCTGCAGTTGATGCTCTGTCAGTGCTGTCAAATAGAAGCTTACACATGAGTTCTGAAACGCCCTGTGAACACACGCTTTGGGTTTCTAGTCTTTTTACCAAAGTGTATTTAATTTAAAATTTAATAGCAGAATAGTGGCGAACAGATCTTTTAGTGTAGCCGTTTCTGTTTTGTTTTRTAAGTGTTATATGCAACAACTTAAAAGGCGGGCTGCGGTAGATTGGTGGTTGCGGTCGTGTAAACTTGAGTTTGCAGCTTTGAGTCCAGGTTCAGGAAGGGCATCGGGTGTAAAACAATTGCCAGGTTTTTTTTTTTTTTTGTGCGAATTTGCTCGCTGTGATGATGTAAAGACAGCATTTTTAATAGCTTTAGTTATTTTCAAACAGAAAAAAAATATCCTGTTGACTGAAAATATTGTGTCTTAGAGCCTCCAGAGATTTTAAGTTTTAATCATCGTGATCATAAGTTTGCATACATTAAGAATATATTAGCCTGGCCCTTTCCTTCCTATGCAGTTCGGCTGAATTCTAGTTTCCCTTCACTGCTGGGATTTCTCCCATAGACAAGGATTTCGCTGGCAGATTTTTAGCCGAACCAATCAGAGAACAGAACGTCGATTTTCTGCGCAGTGTCTGCTTGTAGTTTATTTTACCTTGGCCAATCAGAGAACAGAAGGCGGAGTTTTGAACGACGTCGATGTTCTACGCAGTGTCTGCTAGTTATTTTAGCATACGGCAGTGGAGGAAGTGAATGAAGCCAGTCCGTGTTGATAAGGCTTCCAAATTAAATTAAATTTGTCTGACAAAGCAGCAGCTCTCATTTACAGTCGTCTCGTTTGGCTCAGTATATTTCTCCTCTCAGTAGGGTTGTTTACAGCACACGCGATTTCTGGTTTGCTTCTTAGCTTAGCCTCCGTCACAGCGACACTTCAGCAGAGGCCACGCCTCCAGCAAGAATCGCTTCTCCATAGCAGCTAGTCCAGACCCTCGTACGAAGCAAAGTGAAGGACAATGGTCTGGTTTTTACCAGGCTAGGAATTTGTGTGAATTTCTGCAGTAATGATGCAAAAAAAATTAAGGAGTTTGCAATTTTCCTTTCTGACATCTTGATTTATTTATTTATTTTTGTTCTTTTCTCAGTTTTCTGTATGAACAGCCCTGTAGTAAGATGTTTATCCCACGGTTGTGAGAGCAGTGCTCACATTTAATGTACTGTTGCAACAGGTCAAGCATATTCTGAAAAAAGGGGGAGGCCTTATGCTATATTGCACGTTTTAACACGACGGTAAGATGCCGACCCG